TCAAAATGAAACTTGATTACTTGTTGGGTAAAGTAAGAAAAAATACTTCCTAATATATGCACAGCATTGACAAATCAAAAAGCACATCAGCAGAATGAAAGATTAAAAGGATCTCATGAGAGATCCTTGTAGTTATGGCCGTTAAAAAGCAGTATTAATTCAGGCAAAACTTGAATAATTTTAACTCAGAAGAAACAACCTTATCAATAGATACAGAGACAGCAAGGAAAGGCTGGCTGCGTCATCAGCATGGCATACTTGAGAACAAATTACTGCAAACTGCTTTCCGTCCGACCAACAAAACGCTATTCCTGGTGCAATTTTGTTAAGGAGATGCCTAATACAGAAATGTGTTAGGAAATGGTAGGAAGATGAACAAACAAAAAAGCGTGTTTGCTTGGTAGCTGCTTCCCATCCATTGCTTTAAAAAAGCAGTACATAGGGAAGCAAATGAAGCTCATGCCAGTTGTTATAAACATGTTGACCCACAGGTGACTTTATTGTGCCTTCTAGCAGAAAAACTCTCATGCTTGGATTGCCAACTTCTGCAGAGAGAGACATTTCCTAATCTTTATTTCTCCTTGAACGCTATCACAGAACAGTGCCTAACTTTCACTAGCTGAATGCCTATGAATTAACACTACTTTTAATTACTTTAGATACAATCTATATTTGAGCATGCTTTTCATTTTGCATTCCTTTTTCTTCCATTCATTATCAGTCTTTCTTTCCACTAGACTGTTTATATTTTAATTTGTGCAGGCTTTAACAATAGACTGACTCCAATACTGCCCTAATTGAATTAAATTTACTTGCACAGATTTAACAACCCCTTGTTGACATCAGAAGTACTCCTTTTTCTTCTGTCCAGTATATTTTACTGTCTATCAAGAGTTATTTTCCCCAGGCCCTACTACTTTTTCAGAGTCAGTCCTTGTGCAACTAGTCCTCTAATACATACCCAGATCAGTATTTCAGCTTTAATAAAATTACAGTCCAAGTCCTAACTGGCCTGCACTTTTTAGTCCTTAAATGTTATTTAGGTCCCTTCAAATAAGTAACTGCAGAGCAGCTTCTGACCACAGTGGGAAGAATGTTTAACACTGGATTTTTTCCACCACAGCCATCATTCCCAATTTTCTTCATAATTAAAGCCCTTTCTAGAATGGGCAAAGAATCAAAGCTGAAAGCATGGCTCACCTATGGCTTTTCCTTTCATCCCACATAAATTCACCCCTGAGCAACCCCAAGAAAGCATCGGTATTTTCTCTCCTACAGTGGAAGATACTCTCATCTTTTGCACTTCAGTTTTACCTTTTCAGAACCTGGATTATTCCAACGTTTTAAAATCATTTCCAAACCACCACGTTGCCACTCCTATTGTGCACAGAGGGATCCAATAATTCTCTTTTTCCCTATTTATATTTCTTACATTTCCTTTTTCCCTGCTGTAGGTCGTCTTCTTCCAGTGTAGAATCTTCTCTAGGCAGAATTCTCATGTATAATGCCTACTTACAGAAAGCTCTCTATTTAGCTTCCTCTCAAAAGAAAAATTATGATCTGTAATAGCAATAGTACTCTCTCTTTTGAATTTATTCAGAAATAATATGGTGGTTTGAAGCAATTAACCAAGACATAATACTGGGGGGGTCATGTTTGTTTGTGTAAAGGGGATAGAAAATCATATCCAGGGCAAACGCATAATAGTAATTCTTCCTGCCTTTAGTAATTTGCATTTGAGAGTCTAACTAATAGGTGCTCTAGGACAGGGAAGAGAAACACAGGAGATGCCTCCTTTATTCTTCATTTTCTCTTGCTCTTGGAACCCTCATTATGGGGCAGCATTTAGTTACATATATGCTGTATAATGACTTGTATCACTAAGATAGAAGCAGAAGCATTGCTCTTTGATGTGGAACCCCATGAAACACCTACCCCTAAAAGCCAGTGGGTATGCTCACTGGCTGGCCAGCCACTGGGATGGCCAGCCCTGCAGGGAGCACATATGGAAAATATGGCATCATAGCATGCATGTTCAGTGCCTTCCAAGAGCTTGAGATGAGACAGCCAAATTTCTCTTGGTTTCCTGAAGCTGTTCTGCAGCTAAACTCATGACCAACAGGCAGCTCAATTCCTGATGCACCACTGAGCCTAAGCTTACCTGAGAGATTTCTACAGTACATTGGAGATGCCTCTGTTCAATGTGTTACACAACCTTAGCAAAGATGGAGTAGAACATCCTGCTAATACTGCCTGGAAGAAATAGGTCATGTAACTTGGCCACTGCCAATCGCCAAACAGAAATCAATTAAGAAATCCATGTACAGAAAAGAAAAATCAATGGTCACTGACATGGCCCAGTGAGTGGGTGATATGCAGAGCACAAAGTAGTACTGACATGTATTGATGTAACGAGGAGTGCAGCTGTCTGTGATCCAGACAGGAAGGAAACAGTGTGCACAGCATCATGGATGCTCTGCCAGCATGGGGTGGGGAGGACATGCCATGCTGAATGGGGTGAGCAGAGGGATGGAGGGAGAGAACAAGCCATGGCTCCTGCTGTTACCACCCCTCCACACGTCAGTTTTAGACTGAATTGATGTGACCCCTCATGTTTTTTCATAATAACCTATGAAAAAAAATTTAAAGTATATTTATATACAAATCTACAAATACACTTCACACTCTCTGCCCCATAGATACAAACACACACACATTAAGGCACTGACATCTTACTGACTGTGGCTGTATTCTAGCTGCTCACAAACTGTGTTAAGTTTTCTCATAATGTAACTCAGAAAATCAGGGGTAAAATGATGCATTCCTTAAGACATTCCAATTCAAATAATTTCTTATATGTTAATTCCTGTTAAATGGCTTAAGCATACCCCTAAACCCTCTCCTCCTTTCCTTAATTACTTTTAAAAGCAGGGTCTTTCTTCTGTTTTCCTTTTAGACTAGTTAGTCTAAAACCCCACTGCAGTGATGAACAATTTTCACTGATCACTCAACCAGACATCATATTTTACTGCAATAATCTATTCCTATTTCAAAATTTAGCACAGAATAAGAGTGCAACTGTAATTTTCAGATGTGTATGTCAGTTGTCAACAGAGGCAGCATCAGATCTCCTACCGTTCAATTACTGTCATTAAGATAAAGAATTAAGATAAATTCCTAATGATGCTTTTTGGCTACGTAGATTAAAACCTTTACAAATTATTGCCTATGAAAAATATACATTCCTGATCTTGTGCAACTTTTACTTGTGATCCTGGCTCAGTAAGAAGCTGCAAGAATTGAAGAATATGATGTGCACAGAAGGAAGGCAGAAATGTCAGAAGCAGGAGAATACCCCCAAGCGCAGAGCCGCAGGCAGCAGACTCACTCAGCAGAAAGCACATGGAATGGGCAGGAAGATAAGAATTTAGAAGCAGGAAAAAAAAACCAAAACAGGCATTTTAGAGACTGAGTGAGAAAGGAATGGTAAGGACTTAAAGGCAGGAGGCTAAATAAATGATAGCAGGAGCTGGAAAATCCCCACCGTGCCTTAAAAGAAGAAATAAGGTCATGAGACAGCACAGTAAGAGAAGAGCTGCACCACTGACCAGCAGCAGGGCCAGTGTTTAAGAGGTACAGTTTCTTTGTTTAAAGAAGGAAAAATAATAATAAGAAAAACCAGCAAGGGTCCTCCTAATGGGCAGACTTCACTGAAGGGCATTCTTTTGCCAGAGGAAACTTCTTGGGTCTGCTATGTCTCCCTGGTGTCAGGGCACAGCACTGCGTTGTTCTTTAGATAACACAACATAACACTGTGGGGTAGTTATGATTCCTTTCATGTGGAAAACAGCGTGTCGGGGGGGGGGAAACTCTGGAGCTCGATTTTAAATGTTTCCAAAACACAGAAGTCTGTTGGGTTATGCACTATGCCCCAGTGCACAGGCACAGCTGCATCAGGGCCAAAGGCATGTCTCTGGTTTGACATACACGTTACTTAGTTTTAAGAGAGGATCTCAAGCTGCATCCATTATATTCTGTAATTAGAGGTACTTGCAAGAAGCATATGCATAATAAGAGGTACTTCATAATGCTTTCTGCTCAGCTCAAGTGCATTCTTCCCCACTTGTTTTCTATTTTACTATTAAGTGCCAGTTTCCCTGTTGGAGAAAATTTACTGGACCAGAATCTCAGAGGATAACCTACTTTGTGAAAAACCAGAACTGATCGAGAATTAAAGCACTGGGGATGTTATATGTAATTTACCTATATATAGTTTTATTGTTTTATTTTTTGTGTTTCCAATATCCTTTCACTGTTCACCTACACAAAAGAAGGTTAGTTTTCCTTTAGAATTAAGTTAATACATTCCATTTTATTAGCTGGCAGGGATTACATAACAGAGGAAAACAGGAACTTTCTGACATCAAATAAGAAGCTGGGTGAATTAATGACCTGTTATATATAGGCCCCAGTGTTCTTCCAAATGCATGTATTTTGCTAAGCACCCTCTTCCCCAAAGTTCAAATTGACACTTGTATCTACACTTTTAGTCAATTTTACCATTCCAATCTTGTCTCAAAGCTCGTTTTAAACAATCTTCCAGTCTAATTAGCATTACCTTCTGGCTCCTTAGTACCATCCTTTTGGATATTGGCATGGGTAAACCACTCAGGTCTACTTGGTTTAGTACAGTGTAGCAAATGTCAGTGAAATAGAAGGGCATATGGCATATAATTACAGAACCATATGGATGCCAGTAGTGATAGTCAACAGTATTTGAACTCAAGATCAAGCCAGTCAGAGGAAGAGCAACAAAAGACCATCATAATCATAAAATGGATGTATGTAATTTCTTTACAGCTCAAAGAAGCCTCTACATGTCCAAGCAAACCTGCTGTGTCCATACAAGCACAGGGCTGGGGAGTGCAGTCTATATTATTTATACCGTGGTTTGCAAATTCATAAACCCAGATTATGAAGTGGTACAAGAAATCACTCACCAATGCACAGAGCAGATCAACCGCTTCCAGAATCAGCTCTTGGTGGCCAATCCGAGTGACTCCCAGTTCCTCAAGCTCCTGATGAGTGATGTGCAGCAGCTGCTCACCATTGATCTTTTCTCTTTCAAAGTTTTTAATGTATTGTTGGAGGCAGTCGTCGAGGCCTGTTTGAAAAAGCCAACAACGCATATTCAGAGAACAGGGACAATAATAATTCTGCAATTCACAGAGTTTCCAAGTTGCTTGGAAATGCAAATATAATTCCTTGTTTGGATTTGTTATGGAAAAATGTGTCAAAAAGTATAATTTAACTTTCATAGTTCAGTGCATACTGCTAAAGAGAAAAGTTTCTATTACTGACATTATTTTCAACACTCTTCATAGAATAGTTAGGGTTGGAAAGGACATTCAGATCATCCAGTTCCAACCCGCCTGCCATGGGCGGGGACGCCTCACACTAAACCATCTCATCCAAGGCGTCATCCAACCTGGCCTTGAACACTGCCAGGGATGGAGCATTCACAACCTCCCTGGGCAACTCATTCCAGTGCCTCACCACCCTTACAGTAAAGAATTTCCTCCTTATATCCAATCTAAACTTCCCCTGTTTAAGTTTGAACCCATTACCCCTTGTCCTATCACTACAGTCCCTGATGAAAGGTCCCTCTCCAGTGTCCCTGTAGCCCCCTTCAGATACTGGAAGCTGCTCTGGGGTCTCCACGCAGCCTTCTCTTCTCCAGGCTGAACAGCCCCAACTTTCTCAGCCTGTCTTCATACAGGAGGTGCTCCAGCCCCTGATCATCCTGGGGGCCCTCCTTGCTTTAACACTAATTTTTATCCTCCATGGTACTCACTAGGGAGACCCAGGAAGAGCAGGGAAGCACAGAGAGTGCCATTACAATAAAACCCTTTTCTTCCGATGTCATGAGGACCTAAGTGTAAATTTCGGTTATGGAAGAATATGATTAGAAGCACATTCTTCCTGGTATTCCTCTTGTCTGACTCTTCAAAGTCATACAGTGTAGCCACTGTATCGTACCACTCATGAGAGCGGTTTTGAGGCTCAGTAACCACCCCCACTATCTGCTACACCCGGTGCCAATATATTTATTTATTCATGTCAAACTCTCAACTTTCTGAAACTCAGTAACATACAAATGATTTTGTTATAAACCCTGTGATTAATAATTCAATTTTACTCATGAACAAAGAACTGTTCCATTTAGCCCTGAAAATTGATAAGGCAAGAAACATTGTGTTAAATACAGAGAGCATCACCATTACGGTTAAATTAAGGGGAAGATGTTTGTGCAAGCACTAAGAAAAGCCAATGGATATAAAGAAAAGAAAAGCAAGAGGCATATGAACGATATTGTTCTTGTTTGTCTCTTTAAAATTTCTCACAGACACAATAAAAACAGAAATAAAGCAAAGTTAATTGTGTTTTAATTTCCTGGATTATTATTATTATTATTATTATTATCATCATTCACCTTAGGATCTTTGAAAGAGAAACCCGTAGGTATTTAAACATGTTTTGAATCACAGAGATCCTTCTAAGTAACCAGATGACACAATATGACAATGACGAACAGAAATACATTGCAGGAATCCTGGGGAACTGAAAGCAAGCCAGCAAATGTGGAATTTAAAACTACCCTGTAGACAAGAATACTTGATGTTTCCATGTTTTTCTATTCTCAGGTTTATTAAATAGAGTATCTGAGGAAGAGAGATCTGACATCTTCTATTTGGCATGCTTAATATTACCACTTTAAGTCTCAGTTAAGCCAACATAATTCAGTTGACATACAAGGATTGTGATGACACAAGAATTGAATAAACAAAATAATGTATTTGTCTTCTGTTCCAGAAATACAGGGGGATATACTGCAGTTTCCTTCAATGAAATTACCTTTCAAAATTACTCAATTATTTACTCTGCAAACAGATAGTCCTGAGTTATGTTACAGTGCTCTTTTATCATTTACCATGTAGCCAACAGGACCTTATAGCCACTTAGACGTATAGCCCATCCAAAACAAGGTCAGTGACGTAAAATGTCACATTTTATGTTGCTATCCATAATTATGAGCTAGTTTGGTTTAATTTTGCTTCTTGGTTTTGTTTTGCTGGGGTGTTTTGTTTCTTTTTAACTCAAATCAGCAGTCTCTTTGTAACCAATACCTAAGCCTTTTCTCTGTTCTGGAATGGTTTGCAAACAGGACACTATTTCTCTGCATCTGTTTGTGGGTTTAAATGATTCGATGAACAAATTCATGTAAGCATATTTCAATTTGGATTGGTTAAAAGCTGACCACTGCGAATTTAACATTTGAAATTCAGAGCCGTTCCACATTCCTGCTCCCTGCTTGCTCAAGAACAATTCCAGAGCAAATTCCAAGACCCCTGTGTTTCAGGTTTGCTTTTAGTGACTATTTGCCTGAAACTCATCATAAAAAGTCACTAAAACTGATACCAGACACTAAATTATTTTGAACAAAAGTGAAGAAAAGTAGTTAAAAACCTTAGTATCAGTGGCTACAAATAAGCATTTGTAGTATTCAGAAAGGTTTAGAAAATACCAGATTAACATCACATCCTATAAAAACTGTGTAGCCAGATGTATTAAATGTCCCTTTGTGCCAGACAGAATGTACAACAAGAGCAAAATATGAAATTTGCATTATTCATACTGCTCTGTAATAGCTCCCCAGGGCATCTTTAGGAGGCATTTACTTAATAGTGCAAACAGTATGGCAGTTGACAACAGAATACAGAAATATATCATTAAAGGACCAGGCTGTCTCATAGCATGACAGCATTTGATAAATACACACACCGAGAAAGAAGTATTTGTCCATTGCTTGTTGCTTTTCTGTCTATCTAGGAGGTAGGAATTGTATTCCATTGTTCCTTCTCTTGCAATGTAAAAATGTTTTTGATAACTGTGAGGTGTTACGAAGCAGGAACTTAGCTAAGAGTAATTTCATTCTTTATTATTGTGGCTGTAATTGTTTTTAGCATGAAAATATCAAAGATACAATTAGAAAGAGTATGGAATAAGATCATTTTGACTCACCAAAGTCAAGTGGAATATTTATTTCCTCAAGCCACTCCAATTGCTCTTTATGCAATTTTCTCAACATGATTTCTGTTTACAGGTAAGACTTACATTAGTTAAGACTCATTACTACAAACAACTAACAGGCATTAACTCTGCTTTACAGATATCTAAATGAAATTAAACCACTAGTGCCAAGTTACACAGTATTGGTGTCAGGCAAGAAACACAGAGGCTTTCAGTTCTGATCCTGCCCATTCCTACTTTTTTGGGGTACAGTTTGTAACTAACCAAAATATCCATCATACTGGAGTAAATTAATTCAAGGAAAAAGGTTTAAACATGTATGCTTTATTTTAAAGCTGAGACTTAACATGAGATATGCTGAGAGATCTGCTATATTGTCTCTGCTATATTGTCTCTTGTGCGTTTCTTGGCCCAGGCAGCCAAGAAGGCCAACAGCATCCTGGCCTGTATCAGAAGCAGTGTAGCCAGCAGGGCCAGGACAGTGACCATCCACACCTAGCATACTGTGCTCAGGCTCAGGAGGGAACTTAGAGCTCTCTACAGCTACCTGAAAGGAGGGCTGCAGTGAGATCTGGGTCGGTCTCCTCTCCCAAGTAACAAGTGCTAGAAGAAGAGGTAACAGCCTCAAGCTGCTCTAGGGGAGGTTTAGGTTGGATATTAGGAACAATTTCTTCACAGAGAGGGTTGGAACAGGCTGCCCAGGGCAGTGGTGGAGTCACCATCCCTGGAAGCATTCATAAACCATGTGGATGAGGTCCCCAGTGATACGGTTTAGTGGTGGTCTTGGCAGTGCTAGGGAACGGTTGGACTTGATGATTTGAAGGGTCTTTTCCAACCTAGTTGATTCTGTGATCCTTCCCATTTTTAAGTAAAAAGCTAGGACTAGGAAAACTCTATCCCTGTGTTCAAAGAGCAGAGGAAAAGCAAGCATCTGTGATATACCAACTGCCAACTACGCCTTTGCAAATAAGGCATGTAGTAAATTGCCTAAATCAAAGCGACATGAAAAAGAGGAGGCAGAAAAATCAGGTAGGGAGAAAGGGCAGGAAAAGACAAGCCAGTTAGCTCTAACATGTTTATTTTTAGAACTGCATACTTAAGAAAACAGAATCATTAAAACAACAAAGCAAACCAACTTGTTATAAAAAAATCCTCTGTAGAGCTAGCTAAAATTAAACCTAGGTATTAACTCGGAGCCAACATTACAAAAGAGATGCTACATACTGTGGGCAATAAGACCCCCTGAAATTAAAGTGAATTTTTTCATTGATGTCAAACAACATCATGTTTGTTTTACATTGAAAGCACATAGTTGCCATGTTATGTTAAGGTCTGTCCCTTTACCTGTAACACTAGACAGAGATACTGATAGAAAATTACTGTAAGAATAAATGAAGGAAAAACGTTAGTTGTTGCCTGTTATTCAGGAAGTCAAATTACGCAGACAGGGAAGTTCTCACAGGGGGGAATGTGGTGACAATAACTTTATGAAGTGTGATCCATCACAAAAGTAATTTCTAAGTTTAAAAAGTCTAATTTCCAATTTTTCATAAATCTCTCCATACACTACATTTATTTGCTTCTTTTTTTTCCATATATTTTAGTTGAACTCTGTTACCTATGCTGGTTTTATAATCGATCCTAAAAATTCCTCACCAAGTGATGGTTTTCTTCATACCACATCATTATTCCCAGAGGAAAATCTACAGCAGCTGGCTAGAAGAGCAGAACGCTGGCTGTGAAATGGAGGGGTTACATGGAGGGCAGACAGGAAAGGTCTGTGCCAGTTCAGCTTGTCACAAACACGACTGCTCTCATGAGAGGATTCTTCTGACAGAAGAGGGTATGCAAAGTGATACGCTCCATTCTAAAAATGCAGCGTTGCTCATTCTGCTTTTAGGTACAAGATGAAAGAGAAAGAAAACAGCTCAGTGGAAAAGCATTTACCACTGCTGACTTCTACAAGGAAGTGTTAAGAGTCCATTTATAGCCAGTTGGCAAAGAAGTCAAACCCAGCTTGACCGAGGGTCTGAGAATGTACTTAACACCTTTCCTAATTAAAATAACTTCTAAAATAAAAAGCACATAGAATACTAAAATGACAATTGCATAAAGGCTTACACACAGCAGCAAATTCGAGGTACATATGCAAGTGTCGGTGGGATCTGGATCTAAGGTACAAAACCTGAAAGCCAAGGGAATGATCTCAGCTTGTTCAGAATAATTACAATTTGGTCTGACAAGAGCAAATTAATATTCCTATTAATGTATCTCATTTGACTAATAAAAGCTATACAACAACTGTATCTGGTTTTGCAGACAGGCAACCTGTGAAAATCAATAAATCAAAGTGAAAAAGGGACAAAACCAATTTTCAAATGTCATCCTGCTGGATGCTGGAGGAAATCCACTGGAGCTGCAGTGTCCTTCAGGGAAGATAAATGCAAACAGTGACTGCGCTTGTTCGTGAGGGCAGGAATCTTGTATAATATGACCACAGTGCACAACAGGAACGTGCCTGCACCAGCACATGCGTCTCAGGAGTGTGAGACACCAGGGTCACCTAATAATGCAAGAGAAAACTGGTTGTACTGAAACTGCCTCAGGTGACAAGGATGAAAGAAAAGGATAGAAACACTGCAAAGAAGGGGAGAGAAAGGGCAAAAGACAACCAGAAACTGTGTGCGCTTCAAAAGTAGGAATAGGGAAGACTGCTGAAGTAGGTTTGGAACCATAAGCAAAGAAACATTGATTCCTGCTGGTTTTTGGAAGTGACCTCGTACATGACCTTCCAGATAAGCAGGACTGCACCCAAGACAACACACCTGATTCCACCAGTGGCTTCTCTTCTCAGGCAAAGCACTTGCAAGTCCAGGAAATGAGCTATTCACTATTAGACAAAAAGAAGTCTCCAAGCTCTGTGCTGGAAATTACCTAATTAAGTGGGGAAGGCAGCACAACCTTCAGTTTACATATGCAGATCTGCTTGAATATATCCAATGTTTAACAGCATCTACAGCCTCAGCCCAGGCAGTCGTTGTCACAGAAAGTGAAAAAGTTGGGGTGTGCATTTTTTCTTTTTAAACAAGTGGTGTTTTCTATATAAAACAATATTTAGCAGCTACTTGGAAAGATCTGGAAGAAATCCACTGGTTTGTTAACAGCTAGGAGTAGGTGGAGAACATGTGCCTTTTCCTAAATGTAATTTTATTGAACACACACACACACACACACACTCCAGTTCATGGGTGTTCTTTATCGCAAACCCCTTTGAGTTACTACATTGGACTGAGGCACAGTGGGTCTTTTCCCATTCTTATATAACTTGTAACAATGAAAACCATCAGGTGGGTATTATTTGTTAGGGACATTAAAAGCTTCTGAAGAATTATTCACTCCAAATAAAGAAAAGGCGTAATCCTCAGGACCATGTTCCTGTTAAGGTGACTCTCAGATATCAGCTATTTGTTCTTAAAGCCTTTTCATGAGGAAACAAATACAAAAGCAAAACCAAAACACTGTTAGGAGTGCCTGGAGAAAATGATCTCCATACCCACACAACCCTGTGCTTGAAAACACTCCAGACACCAAGCTGAGAGCTTTACAGACCTAAACTTCCTTAAAGTTTGGAGTCTCTTTAGAAACTAGACTATCATGCAGTATTTGCATCTTTAAGCTACCCTGCTTATTACAAACCTGCTCTGTAGCAAAAAGGTAGCTAGAGTACAAAATTTCACACAAAAAGTACATTTAAAACTGCAAGTTAGAGCAGGAATGCACAAACACCCCAAAAAGAAAGAATTAAGATTATTTTGAAAAAATAATCCCTGAATTCTGGCATTATCTGACCTTTAAATGCTTGACTGTGCAAGTATTATGGGCTTAAATGTTGCTTCCCAGATGAGTTTCCTCTGCGTCACTATAATATTCACACAGATACAGATGGATGTTTTAGATGCAAATACAAGCAGACTTTTGCTGCTTGCATTTACAGACCCATCATCTGCATGAACAGGAACTGGTGCAGAATGAGCACTTTGAATGGATGTTTTTCAAAGACCAACTGACACCCAAAAAGGCTGACTTCCAGGCTTCAAAGTGGGTTGAATTTCACCAGACAAACTGCTCCACTTGTTTCACACCACGGCTGAGGTCCACAATCTAACTTCTCTTGCTCCTGTTCTACTCTCCTGAGAGTGCCAGGTTCTTCATCAGCCCCATGAGAGCAGAAACGCTCAAAAGCCAGCATCCAGCCTCTCCCATCCTCATCCTGCTGCTACATCCCACACACCAGCCTATGTCACTGGCTCAGTAGCCCTGGTTACAAGTATCACCTCACCCTCCTAATTTTTATCATGTTCCATTTCTCCCCCTAGCAAAATCCCATATATTTTCAACTCCATTTACTCCCACCTTCCATGCCCAGTTGTCACGTGTTTTCCTCTTTCCACACCACCCCTATTTTTGTGTTTTCTCTAGGTGAGGTAGGCAGCTTTGCCTCCCCTGTACCAGCGGGGAAGCAGTGTTATGAGAGCACAAGCTGGAGGGAGCTGGGAGTTTCCAACCTCACTTCCTCTTCCATCCCCAGAATAGGCCAGAGTTTCACTGGCAATGACAGATCTCCTCAGCCAAAAGCACCTTTGTTAAAAGGGGTGCAATCCTCAAGAAAAATCCATTGCAAGCTCATGAGCATATGAACTACACACATACACACTGAATAAAGGCAAACATCACAGCCTCTTCACCAGGAGTGCATGTCTGACACACAAACCAGCCTGCCAAATTCTGTCTAATAAACAAAACCTATGGGTATACTACATCATCATGGGCATGGCCAAGGCTTTCCCATTATCTCAGTGTCTGTGATTACAAGCTCTTTGGGCAGCAATTTTCCAAGATAATCATATCACCAAGACCAAAATTGTGCTGAAATTATTAATACTTTAAGAGTTCAGAGCATCTGAGGAGGTTTTGTAAGGGGATGTGTCAAGCAATATTAATAACAAATTATCAAACTGCTGCATCTATACAATTTGATGTAATAATATGACATCTCCCTTAAAGCGACATTAAGTGACTTAATATAGTTCTGCCTTCACTACCTGTGTCTGAGTAATAGGAAATGAAGCCATTTAACTTCTTCCACGAAAATTGACACATGTTGTTGAGCTGTGACATTATCACAGAGGCAATAAACAACCAGAACTAGGCCTGACCTTAAGGATACTTCTGGAAGAAAAGTGTCACACTCAGAGAATGTATCACATTTTCAGACACAAATGCCTGTCCCTGCTGTCACATTCACAGCAATCTTAACCTCGAGGTATGTCACTGATGCAGTTATTAGTGAATTTCCCACAGAAGTGATAAAAACCAGAAGTGTCTTTATTAGATTGTTGTATTAATAAAAAATTAAGTCTTTCCAGAGCCTCAGTAACTTTCTCCATGATAAAGAGAGATTTCTGAAGCAGTTTTGCTGAAGTGACCTGGAAGTGCTAGCAAGCTTCAAAAAGCCAGCACGTTCATACCTCCGTTTGTCTGATTATATGCTTCCCCTTTCCAACGTGACTAAGCTGAGAATACTTGGACCCCAAATCTGCCTCATTACCTTTGTTTTAACAGGGTAATGCTTTGGCCAAATGCAAGACAAGTCTATTTTCTGTACTAGACTCATGTAACACGCTGCTTTTCTTTTTCCAGTCAGAGTTTGATGAGAATCTCTGCTGGCAGAAGCACTGGCTCCAAGTTAGAGTGGTACCTTTGTACATCCTTGTGCCTCGTACAGCTCTGTGCGTGGCTGTGTAGTGAATCGGGTCAGAATTCTCTCCATGTTAACTTCACTCCTTTCACCAGTGGATGAAGGAGCAGATGCTTAAACTGGCACGACTGCCAACAAACATTCTTTTCAAGCTACACCACGAGAAAGCCATATTTGGTAATTCTTTACTTAGTTTTCTCTCCTATTTGCTGAGATGGCAAACGTCTGATCACCATCCCAGCCATTGCTCTGGCCATCCTGAAACACAACTAAATTTTAAAAAGCTTTTAGGGTTAGCTAGAAAGACAATATAAAATAAATTCACAAGGCAAAAAATAGATTTCATATTTCAAGGAACCTTGATTTATACTCAAACCAAAATGCAGAACCAGCATAATTAAATTCTCAAATCTCTACCCACTCACAAAAGAGCAAAGATCTGTGTCAGAACAGCTCTGGTGATGACTGAACATCTGTAGGATCAGTAGTAACAGTTAGAAGAAACAACATCTACCCTGTATACCCCAGGGACAGCGTTGCTTACAAGTGGGGAACTGAGGTGATCAAGTTTTGTGTTTCTCCTTTTTGCAATAACTGGCAAAGGTTGTCTTCTCATCTCCCTGGACTGGAGGGTAGTGGTGTATTACAGTCCTCTATTAAGCTGCTACCAAAGATGATGGGGGAAAGAAAACTAACAGACCAAAACCAAAAGACAAATCAAACAAAAACCAACCAACAAAAAGGAACCATTCTTAGGTGGAAAGAAAACCATTAGAAAATCAAGTTTCCTTCAGTAGAGCCTAAGCACATTGTCTCTATTTTAGAAAGGTCAGCAACTGTAATAAAGAAGGAGCTGCATTAACCATGTTCTTATTTACAAGGACTAATCTTAAAAGCAAAAGTACCAGAACAAATAGATATAACTGAAAGGTCCCTCCTGCAGCTTCTGAGGATTTATCCTCCTTGCACTCCCCACAGGCAAGTTTCTGACACAGGCTGACCTTCAAAACACTAGTTTGGTATCATGCAAAACCATGCCAAGCAAGTTTTTGTACAAGTTATAAAGAGATATTCCCCACTTTTCCCTTGTTCCCTGTGAAGAAAAAAAGATACCGAAGAGATACATAACAAGTCTGTCTGAGCTGATCAACAGAGGTAGAAAGTAACTTGTTGGGCAAAATGTATGCAATTTAGGTGAAATTAGTTCTTCCCTAGAAGTATCTGATGAGCCCTTGCTACAGGGCTCTACAATAAATGCAGTTCAGATTCAAAGACATCCAGCATAACGCCACAGATGCTTCAGAACACACTTCCTGGCCAAAACATGCATGAAGAAATGGAAATTTTCTGAGGCATACGTTCGGCTGCAAGATGTTATCAGCAACGTAAACCTGTAATAGGACAGCCAGAATCTCTGACAGTGTTCTCTGTCGGAAGTGCCAACACCTGCAAAGCTGAGTGGTGATAAACTGTTGACATAGAAGAGTCAAACAAGAAGCGCTATGGATGTTTCAGTTCCAAAATACATTCATTCTTGTTTCAACCTCATTGCCCTATTTTACTAAAAATCCTAGGTATCAGAAGAACAGCCAAATCCAGCGTAGGTGTTTGTAGTGAAAAGCCTGAACAAATAGCATTTCTGCTCAACACAGTTTCTTCAACAACTATGAGTCTACAACCTAATTCACAACTAATAGTTTAAACAGCTGCAAGATACAAATCCTAGAAGTAGAAGGTGGCCTTGGCAAATCCTAACACAGTTCTTCACGCAGTTGCCAAAAAAATCACTGGGAAGCTGCTTTCGGCTTTCTGTAATAGGAAGGAATAGGAATGTAAAGGAAAGACTGGGATTTGTTGCTTTTCAGGGCTCTTCAGAACCTTTGGTGATGGCATCTGCTGGACAACAACTAGGGAAGAGGCTATAGATCAGTTGATCTGGGCTTCCACGCATGCCTCTCTCTCATTCCTTTTACTTCAAGGAAACACTGAGGGAGTCATGCACAACACTGCAGCTCTTGTTTATGCTGTCCTGTTGACTCTATAGATCTGGATGATGTTAAATTAGGTTCTTTACTTAAGTAGTTGGGAAGAATTAGTTCTACTAATTGATAGTTAGCTTGGTTAAAAGGCAG